ACGCTGGAGCTCGTGCGGGCGCCACCTGCGCGTCTGCACCGCCTCACCTGGGACCAAGCAAGGACACGAGCAGCAGCCTTGAAGGTCCGCGCGGACCCCCTTCAAAGCTCACGTGCGCGTGTCCTGCCCTGTTCCCCGGGCCTGCCGGGGCCCAGGACCGGTGCGTTTGCCCTGCTGGCCAGGTCTCCGGGGAGGGAAGGATGCCGATGCCGCGACCCGTCCGTCGTCACCCAGCCGGATTCGCCCCAAAGCCCTGGTCAGAGCGCACCCCAGGGGAGCTCCGCGGAGTAGCAGTACGTATAGCACGGGTGTAACTGCTTCCGCTTGCTTCCCCAAGAAGGTGGGAGGGCGTGGGCACTGGACCGAGGCCCACAGTGGCGCCCAGCCAGGCCTGGGGCGGGTGCGGTGCAGAGCCTGGCCGTCGTCCTCCGATGGAGGGGCGCCTCTCTCGCGGTCGCTTCGTCGCTCGCGTGGTGGGGGGAGTGGGCGGAACAAAAACCGAAGTCCGGGGCGTCTCCCGGGAGCGCCCAGGAAGGGCTGGCCCAGAACGCGGGCTCTGATTCCCCAGGACGCGGGGCGCGCCCAAGAGCCCTGCGGCGGCCTGGCCGAGCCATGAGCCACCCTCCGACCTTCCTTCTCTCGCCGGGTGGACAGTTCAAGAGGCCCTGCTCCGCGCACTGCCCCGGTGCAGGGGGCCCCTCTGCCCCGGCGGGGCCTTCGGAGTCGCGGGGCCCAGCCACGCCCCGGGCGCCCCGGGGCCTCGCGTGCGTGCAGCCGCGCGGGGCCTGGCGCGCGGGGCCCTGCAGGAGCGGAGAGCCCTACGGGCGGGCGTCGAGGCCCCCGGGCGCTCGGAGGTCGTTTTTTTGTGGCGGGGCCTCGCTGCGCGGCTTCCCGCCGCCGGGGTGCTCGCCGCGGCAGCTGCGCACCTCGGCGAGGGCGTGCGCCAGCGGGGTGCCCGAGGCGCCGCAACCGTCGGCGGCCGCTGGAGAGCCGAGCCCGGCGGCCCGCAGGCCAGGGGCAGCGCTGACGGGAGGGGGGGGGGCGGCGCGGTCCGGAGCGCTCGCGCAGCGTGCCGCGGCGCCAACTCTGGGCCCTCCACGCCTCGGCGCGGCACGCGGGCCCAGAGAGCCGACGTCGTGATTGTCATGGCCCCCGGCCAGTGCCGCCGATCCGGGGCGCTCCCGATGCGTGTGGGGACGGACGACGACGACGACGACGACGACGACGACGACGACGACGACGACGACGACGACGACGACGACGACGACGACGACGACGACGACGACGACGACGACGGCGACGACGACGACGACGACGACGACGACGACGACGACGACGACGACGACGACGACGACCGACGACCGGGTCCACGACGGACGATGATGACGACGACGTCGCTCCTCCCCCCGCTGCCCTCCCCGGCTTCTTGGACCCCCCACCCCCCGCTGGAGCTCGACCCCCCCCCCGTCCTCGCTCGAGCTCCCCCCCCCCTCGATTCTTGGACCCCCCCCCCGCGCTGACCCCCCCCTCCGCTTGAGCTCGACCCTCCCTTCGTTCGACCCCCCTCCCCGTCCTCGGTCCCCCCCCCCCCCCCTCTCTCGATTCTTGGACCCCCCCCGCGCTGACCCCCCCCCCGCTTGAGCTCGACCCCCCCCCCGGCCCCCCCCCCCCCCCTCGATTCTTGGAGTTCCCCCTCCTCCCCCCCCCCCTGTCCTCGCTCGAGCTCCCCCCCCCCTCGATTCTTGCCCCCCTCCGCGTGACCCCCCCCCTCCGCTTGAGCTCGACCCCCCCTCCGTCCCCGCTCGAGCTTCTTCCTTGGACCCCTCCCCCCCGCTTGAGCTCGACCCCCCCCCGTCCTCGCTCGAGCCCCCCCCCCCCCCTCCTCTCGATTCTTGGACCCCCCCCCCCCCCGCTTGGCTCTCGACCCCCCTCCGTTCGAGCTCGACCCCCTCCGTCCTCCCTCGGCTCGCCCCCCCCGCCCTCTCGATTCTTGGATCCCCCCCTCCCTGCGCTGGACCCCCCCCCTTGCTTGAGCTCGACCCCTCCCTCCGTCCTCCTCGAGCTTCCTCCTTGGACCCCCCCCCCGCTTGAGCTCGACCCCCCCCCTCCGTCCTCGCTCGAGCTCCACCCCCCCCACCGATTCTGGGATCCCCCCCCCCCGCTCGAGCTTCCTCCTTGGACCCCCCCACCAAGCTTGAGCTCGACCCCCCCCCCTCCGTCCTCGCTCGAGCTCCCCCCCACCCGATTCTGGACCCCCCCCCCTCCCCGCGCTGGAGCGTTCATTGAATTACGTGGATAATTCGCCGGATCCCCCCCCCCCCATGAGCGAAGCTTGAGCGCGCTCAAGCCCACGCTCTCAGAAACTCACACGCCGGATCGGCGGATTTTGCTTCCAGGCGGGGTCCCTGGAAGCCTCGGCCCACTCCCCGGGGCCTGTTTCTCATACTGAGCCGTTGTTTCACGGTCCCGGGGCCCAGCGAGGGCCCCTCGAAGCCGAAAAATGAGAAACACCGCCGTCTTGATTGTTTCAATGCGCTGGATCTTTGGGAGCCAGGTCCCCATGTCCAAACGTCAGCGTCCCAAGCTCTTGGTAGCCTCCCGCCCGGCGCAGCGGAGCGCACGCTATCAATATCAGCTCGCAAGGCACAGCTTTAAGTCGGGCATGTCCCTCTACATGGGGTATCGTAAAAAATACGAAAAATAGTCTGGGGACTACTTTATTGTAGTAGTTGTGATTCTTGTTGAGCATTTTTGGAATACGGTTTCATGTAAAATTTGCTTGTAGGAGGACGCGCCCGACCTAAGCATAGCGTGTCGCCGGGGCCGCCGCCGCTTCACGCTAAGCGAAGCATCATGGCCGCAGTCCAGACCCAGACCCTGCTACTCGAAACATCGAGCCAGATACCTCTCGGCTTCCGAACTCCGTTGCCGAGACCCGCGACTGCCACGAATCGTTCAAACAAAGAGCCGGTCACGAGAGGGTTCGAGAGCTCCAGAGGTCGGCGATTCTGAAGATGGGAGTCGTCGGAGGTCTGGTCTGGTGAAGGTGCAATGTCAGGCACAGTTTCCGGAAACTGTCTTTCGGCCCGCAGCCGCAGCCCACGTTCTTGCTTATCCGTGCACTGGCGGGGCATTCCTGGAGGCCGAGTCGGCCATTCTTTGGGTCGACAGGAAGACGTTCGGGAGAGCTCCAGCGTCGGGACATGCGCGCAGTAGTGCATGACTACACCGTTCACTAGATGAGATGGACTAGTTCGTGCGCTCGACTTGCTGCGTATTGAATGCAATAGTTCGATCTCTCTCTCTCTCTCTTTTTAGCCCATGCGAGGTGGATGTGAGGGGGAGGACACTGTTGAGGTTGAAGCGTCAGCTGTTCATGGGAACGCGTGGAGACCTCGAGGGGCAATGCGGTTTTGTCGCCTGCTTCTCCGCTTCATTATTCGGAGACAGTGTGATATACATTCGGGCTGTTCCCGTGTGTCCTTCCATCCAGGTCATTGGGTGAGGCTGTTGCGAGTCACGGGATACGTGATGCATGTTGCCTGCTTGCATTCACCTAATTGGCGTTTAGAGCGCACGTGCCACCCATAATATTTGCACCATGGCACTCGGTATTCAAATAGGTTCGATGCTGTTTATCGTTTTGCAGTGCTCACGCAGTCTAGGACATCATTTCTCTATCCAGCTCTGTCGTGCTTCGCAGCTGTTATATTGCACAGTGCGCGCTTAGCCCCAGATGGGAGGGCGAGGTCTACATTGGATATCGAATCCAACTACGGTCTACAGCCAGTCATTATTTTCGGTATTTCTCATCATCAATGCCTGACTCCAGGATTGAGCCCAGGCGTTTTTGCCTTGCTCCTTTTGCGAGGCGCAGCATGAGGTACGCATGAAACAAGGGGGCGATGAGAGATGCACAATTTGCAGTGTGCTCGGGGAGAGTGTGCTGCAGTTGGGAGTGGCATGAGCTTAGTTCTTTGGAGACGGCTTCGCGCGACGCCGACACCTCGTGTGATGCGCTCTCAGTTATTAGCACCATGGCCAGCACGAGACGCCCAAAGATCGGCCCGAGACGCCCAAGATGGCCTCCAGATGGCCCAAGAGGCCTCCAAGACGCCCCAAAAAGCCTCCAGGAGGCCTCCATGGAGGGCCTCGAGAGGCGAAAATGATGGATTGTCCTTTGCTGACCTGCACTCTCAGAGCGAAGCGGCGAAGCTGAAGAGTGACTCGTAGAGCTTCCCTAAGAGCGAAGCGGCGAAGTTTGAGAGTGACTCGTAGAGCTTCCCTGAGAGCGAAGCGGCGAAGCTTGAGAGCAATTCCCGGATAGCTCCTCAGAGCTACGTTAGGGTTGTTAGATTCAGTCCAGGCCTGTGTGACGTCGTGGACCCACCCGGCGGCGGGGAAGGCTCCGAGGCTCGGATGAGGCGCAGAGGAGGAGGAGGAGGAGGTGGAGGAGGAGGAGGAGGAGGAGGGAGTGAGAGGCCCAAGGATGAGAAGGAGGAGGAAGAGGAGGAGGAAGGGGAGGAGGTGGAGGAGGAGGAGGAGGAGGAGGGAGTGAGAGGCCCAAGGATGAGAAGGAGGAGGAGGAGGAGGAAGAGGAAGAGGAGGAGGAGGAGGAGGAGGAGGAGGAGGAGGAGGAGGAGGAGGATGAGGAGGAGGAGGAGGAGGAGGAGGAGGAGGCGGAGAGGGGACCGGCTCGGCGGCGGGGAAGGCTCCGAGGCTCACGGACCTGCGGTTTACCTGCCGCGGAGCGGGGCGCACCGGCACCGACACGCCTGCCCACGCCTGGGCCTGTCGGCCCCCCAAGGGCCCTCGGAGGCTGACAGGCCTCCTGTCAGGAGGGGAACGAAACACACAGACACAATTCAGCGTCGATGCCCCAACAAAATCTGGGAAGATATGGGCAGGGGGGGGAGACAGAAGCCCAGAAAATATGGGGAGAATATGGAGCATATTTTTATTGGTGTGTATCTATGTTTGTGTGTCCCAGGGCCCCTTCACTCCTGCCCTGACACGCCGATTAGCGAACTGGCCGTTCTCGCTTCGCGAGAGGGCGTCGCGGCCGTCATCTTTGCGGGTCCAGGTCAAGCAATTTTGGCTCAAGCCATTTTGGCTCAAGCAATGTATGCTCGAGTTCCGATCCTCTCACAGCTTATAATTTGATCTCAGCGCACATAAGTGGTTTCGGCTTTCCTCGTCAAGCGCATCCAGGATGTCTTGCGTCCACCCTCACCAAGACGAGGAGTGCCTCGTCGGCCCCCACGAGGCGCGGCGCGCCCCGGCGCGGAGCCGGGGCGAGGCGCCGCGCCGCTCCGCGGCGAGGGGCTGGCTGCAGAAGGCCTCGCTGGGCGTCGTGGCCTGCTCGGGGGCGCTGGCGTGTGCTGCCTGGGGGCTGAGAGTTGCGGAGAAGGCTCGCAGCGACATCGAGTCTCGGGTTGGACTGGAGAAGCCCCCCATGGTCGAGACAAGTGGCAGCCACGTCTATGACTGGACCGTGTACGATGACACGGGTTGCTCTAACTGGAACGCCATCAAGATCGGCCCGAAGAGTGTCTTTCCCACCTACTCTGCTTGCGCGACGTCTTGCAGGTACAGCCCTGGCTGCACCGGCTTCAACTTCGAGGACGCGAACCCCCCAGTGTGCAGCGGCGGCTCAAGTTCGTCTGGCGTCGGGGCGTGCTACCGCTGGGGGCCCTCCACCTGTTCCAAAGAGAAGAACGACTGCTGGGACAACTTCTTCCTGGACAACGCCGAGCCAACGGTGTGGTCGGCTCCAGACAAGGGGCAGGGGTGCAGCAACTGGAGGGACATCCTCCTGACAAGGCTCTCGGGCATCAGCAATGCGGACGACTGTGGTCTCCAGTGCCTTGCGCACAGGGAGGCGGGCTGCGTGGAGTTCGGCTACCAGGCCGACGACGGCTGCTCCGGAAGTGGCCCTGGCGCAAGGTCGTGCTACCTGTACAAGGGCGCGTGCTCCGCGCAGGGCAACGCTTGCTGGGACCACTACACCCTGGAGAGCTACACGGAGCCGTCGGGCCCGTTCGAGCGGAACGGCGCAGGTCGTGGCTGCAGCAACTTTGCCCAGATCAACATGGGCGCGGCTTCCTTCCAGGCATCTGCTGGCGCCTGTGGGAAGGTCTGCCAAGACGTTGATGGCTGCGTGGGCTTCGGCTACCAGAGCGGCCTGCCATCTCAGTGCTCCGGTGGCAGCGCGTTCACCGGCGCGTGCTACCTCTGGAGGGGCGAATGCAATCAAGAGCCCAACTCGTGCTGGAACAACTACAAGATCTCTCCGGCCACTCCTGCGCCCCCGACCCCTCCTGCGCCCTCGCCACCGGGAGTCGCCGAGTACTGCCCGAAGGCCGCCGAGCTCCGGGTCGACTTCGACGCCCAGACGGGCGCGGGGACCCCAGACAGCCCCAGCGGATCCGTCGAGCTGAGAGACCAGGGCTGGACAACCACAGGGCTTGCGCGGGTCAGCTCCAGAGGCGTATGGAACCTGTTGGATGGCTGGATCGCGTTCGATATGGATTTGTCCCAGACGATTGTCGGCCTCCAGACTGGCAGCATGCAGGGTCCCAACCCGAATCTCTATATCGTCTTCCCGCAGACTGGCTCTGGGGACTACGACGGAAGGCCGCGGACAATTGCTAGTGCTGCTACTCAGTACTGCGACGGCCAAGGAGAGTTCTCGTCGCAGCCGCAGACGCCTGCAAACCTAATCCCCAACTCATTCTGCCCGGAGATGGACATCATCGAGACCAACAGCAAGCTGGCCTTCGCGACTACGTGGCACTCCACGTTCACCTTCTCCCCAGAGAATCCGGGAGACTATCCTGGCCCGGATCCGTGCAACCAGTTCGGCTGCAACAACAACCACTTCTTCACCCCGGCGCCGGACCCTCCGAGCAGCTGCCAGCAGCTCCCCGCAACGACCCCGCCAACTCCCGTTACGACGTCTGGCATCGACAGCGCGCAACCATTCACCATCAACGCCAGTTTTGCCGCGGACGGGAGTATGACGGTCGAGTTTTTGCAGGTGAAGGGCAACGCCGCGAGCAAAGTGTTGATCGGGCGGCAGGAAGTCTCTGGTGGCGGGAATCCGGTCACCCAGGCCACCCTGGACGCCCTCGTGGGAAACATGACCACGTTCGGCTCGGCCATCGAGTCTTCCCAGTTCAACGGTTTTGTCCCGCTGAGCTCGGAGTTCTTCACCAACGTCCGGTGCAACGACGGCACCAACAGCCTCAGCCAGTCCATCTACAGCGTCAGCAACCTGAGGGTCAAGGGCGTGCTCGTGAGAGGATCGGCCTCCGAGTGCGCCCCCTCCGACCCCCCCCAGCGCTGATGCGCTGCCCTCGGGTCCGATCGGGCCTCGCCTTTTGAGCTGCAAATTGCAACTCACGTTTTTTGGGGGCTTGCAGTTTGATCATGAATTTGCATCGTGTTTTTTATGCTCGGTCGAAGCAAGGATCACTATGTTGGAGCGTATTCCTGATGGACGCGAGGAGGAGGAGGAGGAGGAGGAGGAGGAGGTGCTTAGTTGCTCAGATGACTGTTGCGGATCCCCTGCGGGCAACATGGTGTGATTTCGACTCTGTAGATCTCTCTCAATGTGCCTCGTGACGGAAGCGTCAAGAATTCTACATTTGATGCAGATTGGGTCTTCGGCCCACCTTTCATCGCCAATATTGCGGATATACCATGGTGGTTGGCTGGCCCAGCCGACCACACCACTATCTCACGAGTAACCCAGGGTCTGCCATCATCACCCAAGTCCTAGATCATGACTTTCTCTGTCCAAGTCGACGCACATTGGATCAACCTGGGTTTGATCGAGGTCGTTATTGGATGAGCTGGTTCTCTGTGGGCGCAACCAGTAACAGGCAGTTCCAGCCCCAGCGGCGCAATCGTAGTTTGTAGGAGAGCAACAGTGTGTAGCTTGCTTGGTGGGTCTCCGAAGGCGTAAGTGCCTGCAGGATGGACATTCGCCAGCCTTTTTTGTCGCCCTGCACGCTCTTCAGCTTGGGCGTGCATGTCCTTTCATATTCCTCGTTCTCCCTCCTCCTTCAATGGACACCTCCTCTCTTCCTCCTCTACCTCCGTCGGTAGTTTTGCTGCCCTTGGTTCGCCATGCGCACTGGGTTTCTGGAATCAGCCCTGCGCGGTCCTCACGCACGCTGGTGTCTGGCTTAACGCATCGACGAGTTTGACTCGACTTGCCACGCGACGGGGCCGTTGTCTTGGCCTGGAGAGGGGGGGGGAGTGGAGGGCGCATGAGACGGTGGGCGGGGAGGGAGGGGACGCTTTTCGGCGACGCGCCCAGGCTGCGGCACGTGCCCGCACCGTGGCGACGACTGCTCGCGAGGTTTCGCGTCGTCCCATGCTCGCGGGATCGGGAACTCGTGGCTCGGGGGGCCCTGTCTCCTTCTCGTCCCTCTCTGGGGTCTCCTGCCGCTGCTGCTGCTGCTGCTGCCTCCTCCTCCTCCTCCTCTGCGGCCCCCCAGCCCGTAGGTCTTTCCCAGACGGGCCTGACGCTAGAAGGTGTAGCTGGCGATACCCGTCAGTTCGCAGTGCACGAGCGTCGGGTCCCGAAGAGACGAGCCAAAGCAAAGCTCAAACCTCGAAGTTAATTTTTGTATAGCTTTTTTCAATTTCCGTTCCAGGCCATGTAAGTCTTGAGTCGTGCTGCCGTTCCCCTCGAGCACGCACACCCGTGCCACGGGCGGACTATCCCCCCTGCGCACATTCCCATTGCCAGCAGGTGGCGGGGACATGGGTGAAGTTGCCCTCTGAGGCCACTCAGGTGCCAACTATTTCGAGTGGATGCTGATAGAGAACAAACAAAAAAACTTTGCGGGTCCAGGTCCGTCGGTTTCGGTCCCGGGCCGTTTTCACTGAAAGGGTGGCTTGCGAAAGGGAGATTTATCCACCGCCGAGACCCCTCCCCTGGCGAACTTTTCACCAGAGATGGTAATACCAGGGGGTTCCTGTCGCGAGCGTCTGATGCATGAGTTGTGTCGTGCGGCTCGGAGGAGTTGTTGCGCCTCCAGCGGATGTTGGGCCTCCCGTGGTGGCAGTGCTGCACGCTCGCAAAACATGCTCACCTGGGATTACGGGAAGGGGCCCCAAAAGGGCCCCGAGCGGCTCTTTTTAGGCCCCCACCCAAGACAAAAACATGTTTCTTCATCCCCACTGTCGTCCCCCCACCGTGAACGAACGCCCGAATCGATTCCTGTCTATCCCAGGGCCAGACGCCGCAAGCGACGGAAAACCTCGATCGTCAATCTAAGGCTTCGCGTTGGCTTTCAGCGCAGCCAAGGCCGAAAGCCATGACTTGCCCCCTGATTTGCCAGACGGGATGTGAACATCTGCGGGGAGGGCTGGCTGCTGAGTGGCTGGAGTCGGTGCCGTGGGAGGCCGCAGACAAGGGTGGGCAAATGGTTGGAACTGGCTGGAAGCAAGAGCTGGAGTCGGACAGTGTGGGCCTGCCAGGCGCCCACATGCGGGGTTCCTTTGCTCTTGCCCTACGTCTGCGCGGCCACCCAGAAGCTCGTTGTTCTTGTCAACATGGTTGCCCGCTCCGGGGCCCATCACCAGCCACCTGGCGCGTTCGAGAAAGGGCCTTGCCTTCCGGGATCGAAGGAGTTGCCATCTCTTCCGCGGCGGAAGGCGGCGGAAAGGGCGGCGGAAGTAAAACAAGGCGGCCTCCGCCAGCAGAAGCCAGCGGAAGGCCAGCGGAAGCCAGCGGAAGCAAAAGATACGCCCCCAGATGCGCCCCCAAGATATGACGATGACGATGACGATGACGATGACGATGACGATGACTGACGATGACGATGATAGGTTACCAAGAGTGCGCACACTAGCACTCGGAGGAAAACATCGTCATGGTTATCATCATCGCCGTCGACGTTTTTGGGTTCAGGGTTTCCGGAATCCGCCACTTGACCACAGTCAAGCAGTGGCGAAGTGTCCTGGCTCGCCTATAGCCGTACCAAACAATGTTCTAAGAACCTCTTGCGGTTTCCACGAAATGTTATTAGAACATTTCTGGCGGAGTCTGCTTTGTTCCCAACCATCCTGTGGCGTTGGGTCCTCGTTTTGAAGAGACAGCGCCCCGCGTTCCTTCCTCCTCCCGCTGCCCCCTCCCTCCTCCTCGCATCATCGTTATCATCATCATCATCATCATCATCATCATCATCATCATCATCATCATCATCATCATCATCATCATCATCATCACCTTGACGAGGATCGTGGCCCCATACGAGCTCCACCGAAGGCGCCAGTAGCACACTGCGCATGGCAGCCTCGGGCCATTTCGGCACACCCCTCACAAGGATCGCTGCCCCATAGGAGGTCCACCGAAGACGCCAATAGCAAAGTGCGCATGGCGGCCTTGGGCCATGTCGGCACACCCCTCACGAGGATCGTGGCCCCATAGGGAGCTCCACCGAAGGCGCCAGCAAAGTGCGCATGGCGGCCTCGGGCCATTTCGGTACATCCCTAACGAGGATCGTGGCCCCATAGGAGCTCCACCGAAGGCGCCAGTAGCAAAGTGCGCATGACGGCCTCGGGCCATTTCGGCACACCCCTCACGAGGATCGTGGCCCCATAGGAGCTCCACCGAAGGCGCCAGTAGCAAAGTGCGCATAGCGGCCTCGGGCCATTTCGGCACACCCCATCACGAGGATCGTGACCCCATATGAGGTCCACCGAAGGCGCCAGTAGCAAAGTGCGCATGGCGGCCCCGGGCCATTTCGGCACACCCCTTGCGAGGATCGTGGCCCGTAGGAGGTCCACCGAAGGCGCCAGTAGCAAGCATGGCGGCCTCGGGCCATTTCGGCACACCTCTCCCAAGGATCGTGGCCCCATAGGAGCTCCACCGAAGGCGCCAGTAGTAAAGTGCGCATGGCGGCCTCGGGCCATTTTGGCACACCCCTCACGAGGATCGTGGCCCCATAGGAGCGCCACCGAAGGCGCCAGTAGCAAAGTGCGCATGGCGGCCTCGGGCCATTCCGGCACACCCCTCACGAGGATCGTGGCCCTATAGGAGCTCCACCGAAGGCGCCAGTAGCAAAGGTCGAATGGCGGCCTCGGGCTATTTCGGCACACCCCTCACGAGGATCGTGGCCCCATAGGAAGCTCCACCGAAGGCGCCAGTAGCAAAGTGCGAATGGCGGCCTCGTGCCATTTCGGCACACCCCTCACGAGGATCGCGGCCCCATAGGAAGCGCCACCGAAGGCGCCAGTGGCAGGGTTCGCATGGCGGGGTCCGGGCCATTTCGGCACACCTCTTGTGAGGATCGTGGCCACATAGGGAGCTTCACCGAAGGCGCCAGTGGCAAAGTGCGCATGGCGGCCTCGGGCCATTTCGGCACACCCCTCACGAGGATCGTGGCCCCATAGGGAGCTCCACCGAAGGCCCCCAGTGGCAGGGTTCGCACGACGGCCTCGGGCCATTTCGGCACACCCCTCACGAGGATCGTGGCCCCATAGGGAGCTCCACCGAAGGCCCCCAGTGGCAGGGCTCCCATGGCAGCCCGAGGCCAGTTCGGCACACCCCTCACGAGGATCGTGGCCCTAAAGTTGTGCTGCTTCAATAACCGCGCCTGGGCGTCGTATTCTGCCTTCTCGACGTGCACCGACACCTCCTCCTTCATGGCTCTCAAGGCCCTCTCCTGCTCCTGCTCCTCGGTCAGAGGGACGCCGTCCTTGTCGTCGTCGGCGTCCGCGAAGACGGCCACGAACGTGTTCCTGAGCATGTCGGGCTCCGGCGGGAAGCCGCGGCCACATAGGGAGCGCGGGCGAAGATAGTATTCACAGTCGCGGTATTCACAACTGCACATGGTTGGGTCCTTCGCCTGGCGAATTTTGTCACAGCGGGCTTATGATCAGAGAACATTTTTTGCTCTTAGAACATTTGTTGGTTCTAAGAGCATTTCGTGGTAGGACTACAGCGGGCGGCTTGAATAAGGAACACTTACTTTTCAAAAGGGGCTCGGTCGTTCCTTAGGCTTGCATGCGTTATTTACAGTTCCTTATGTGTTATTTGTTATGTATCGCTCCTTATGCGTTATCCCTTAGGATGAAAAGAGGCTTCGTTCCTTATTTATCGTTCCTTAGGTCAGGCCGATGAGTGTAGGACTATAGGAATGCCGGGACGGTCGGTCCCTGCTCAAACCACCGGCTCTCCGGCCTCGCGCCGGCGGGTCCGCGGCTGCGCCTCGCCTCCCGCGAGCGGGCGCCAGCGAGGAGGAGCCCGGGGGCCTTCGGCCTCCTCCGCTGGCCCCGGCCCCTCTGGCGGGCGTCGCGCGAGGGGGAGGAGGAGGAGGACAAGGAGGAGGATGAGGAGGAGGAGGAGGAGGAGGTGGAGGAGGAGAAGGAGGAGGAGGAGGAGTAGGAAGAGGAGGAGGAGGAGGAGGAGGAGGAGGAGAAGGAGGAGGAGGAGGAGGAGGACGAATAGAAGCAGGGGGAGGAGGACCAGGACGAGGAGGAGGAACAGGACGAGGAGGAGGAACAGGTCGAGGAGGAGGAGGCCCAGGGCCGCCACAAGGGCGCGAAGTGATGCGCTGTCGGCGATTCGTGATTCTTCATCCTCGGTGCTAGCGTTGCTAATTCAGACACGCAATGGCGGTTTCGTACGCTCGTTCTTCTCCCCCCGGGGGGGGGCGCAGGAGCGCGAAGTGATCCGCGCTTCGCGCAGCGCGCAGCGTGAACGTAGCTGCCCCTGGATGGCGCCGCGGCCTCGGTCCGAGCAGATGGAGTCAGAGGATCGCGCCGCGTCGCCGATGCGTGGAATCAATGTGGAGCCCGATGTTCTCCACGCCGGCGGCGCCCCTGCGTCGCCGACGTCGTCGCCTGTGCATCGCCGACTCGTCGGCGATGCATCGGCGAGGCGGCGCGATCCATCGCCCCCTCCGGGGAGGCGGGAGACCCGAACACGCGGGGGAGAACGAAGGAAGCGGAGGAGAGGGAGGAACAATGGAGAGGAGGAAGAGGAGGAGGAGGAGGAGGAAGAGGAGGAGGAAGAGGAGGAGGAAGAGGAGGAGGAGGGAGAAAGAGGAGGAGGAGGAGGAGGAGGAGGAGGAGGAGGAGGAGGAGGAGGAGGGGGAGGAGGGGAGGAGGAGGAGGAGTAGTAGGAGGAGGAGGAGGAGGAGGAGGAGGAGGAGGGGGAGGAGGAGGGAGGATGCGTAGGAACAGGAGGAGGAGGAGGAGGAGGAGGAGTAGGAGGAGGAGAAGGAGGAGGAGGAGGAGGATGAGCTTACAGTGGTTTTCACAATTCTCGCTCTGCTTGACGAGTGTGTGGTTGTGCGTCCTTGGAAAAAGGGTTTGCGGAGAACCGATGGCCGAAGTCCTCGAGGTCTTTGCGGCAGGCGTCGAGGATCTGCGGCCTGTGCTCTCCCCTCTGCTCCCTCGAGTGGCCGCAGGGACCGACAGTTCTCCGAGATAGCCAAGTTCTTCCCCGTCATCTTCATCGTCGGCAACATTGCGGGCCTGTATGCCATCTACACGCGGGGCGGGGATAACGGCGGAGGGAAGGACGGGGGCAGAGAATGCGGCCCCGCAGTGGGGAGGAGACGCAACGCGGGAGGAGAGCCAGGCTTGGCACTGGGGTGGCGAGGGCGTCGAGCTGGGGGCTCGCGATGGCGCTGGCAGATAGCGGTGTGAGAAGGGGGGCTCTGGGGTGGCTGGCAATCCCATTGAATTTCGGGCCGCTGGGAGTGAGGCAGCATGCAGGAGGGAGCCCGAGAGACCCAGCGGCATCTTCTCTGCCAGAACGTCACCGGATTCGGGACCCCCCTCCTCCCTGGCCCCTCCTCCCCGAGCGCCTCGGATTTCTGCCATCCGCTGGGTTCAGACCCGAGCTCCCTCGTGTTGCGCGTCTCCTCCGCATGTCTGAGCGCCCCTGTTCAAGGGAGGAAAAACCACCCGGACCGGACACTTGCGAAACGACTTCGCGTGTCGGGGTGGTTCTTCTTGGGAGGGGCTTTTTTGTTTGACTTCTGCCTGTGCTGGTCGCGGGGAGGCTCTTCCACCTCCTCCCGATGCTGGAGGCCTCGGACGCGAGCACCGCCAAACGGGGCATGATCGAGTTCGTGATCTTCAACGCCCCCGGGGGGGCAAGGAGAGGGACGGGGGAGGACCAGAGAGGGCGGAAGCCCCGCCAGGCAGGGAGTGCTGTGGGCGAGGAGAGTGCAGGGGATCGAAGATCATATGAACAAACACTTTCGGAACCCCGCGTGGATTTCCCGGATCGGCGCCTGAGCCTCTCGGCGCCGCCTCCGACGCCGCCCACGGCGCGCTCCACACGCCAGGAGGGGGGGGGGGCCCGGCGCCGATCCAAGAAGCTTCGTGGAGCCCAGATATGTAGCTCCCCAAACAGGGCCTGCGCCCAGGGTTTTGCAACCTGCGTTTCTGAGGCATCGGATGGGTCCGGCGAGGTTTCGCGACGTGGCCACCCGTTGCCGCCTCGTTGCCGCCTCGTTGCCGCCTCGTGCCCTGGGCTGGTCCAGCGAGGTGTCGCCACGTTGCCGCCCGGTGCCGCCTCGTGGCCGCCTCGTGCGCCGGGTGGGTCCGTCGAGGCGTCGCAGCGTGGCCGCCTGGTGCCGCCTCGCTGCCGCCTCGTTCGCTGGTCGGGCTCCGCGAGGGTTCGCCACGTTTCTGCCGGTTGCCGCTTCGCTGCCGCCACAAGCTTTTTTGATCCGCGGGTCGAGAGCGAGCCTCTTCCGATCGAAGCTAAGCGGGCCGCGCACAGCTTTAATTAACAGAGGAAGGAACAAAGAAGGCGGGGCCTCACGTCAAGGCCCAGAGAGGGCAAAGCCCCGGGATCAGGCGGTGCCGAAAGCGAATATCCGCCACAAACTTGCACCACGTAGACTGCACCACGTAACTTACACCACACAGCTTGCACCGCATACCTTCTACACATCTTCAGTGCAACAACTTACTGCTCGGGGCCCTGGCTGGCTCACATTTGTGTTTACGCAGCTGGTTTCTTCTTCGACGGTTCGCACTGGTCCTCGGGCGGCCATCAGGGATTGCCGCGTGCAGTCCCTGCTCTCACCCCCTTGTCTGCCATGGTGGCTCGCCGCAGTGCACGTCAAGCAGAACGGACATGCTGCGCGTACAGAGCGTACGGTACGTACATAAGACCGGGTGCTGCATTGGGAGTCGATCAGAGCGACCATGGCGAGTTTTTCCTTGTTGTTTTTTTTGGATGTGACTTTGCAGGAAGGCGCGCTCCTGTGGAGCGTACATATCAGCTAGGAGTTTCAGGTCACACTGCACAACAGCATCGTGCAGCCCGCGTGCAAATATCCATTATACTGTATTGTCCCTCGAACTCAAGTGCATGTAGCATGCCTCGTCTTGCAACGCCATGACTTCCTACCTGAGGCTTTCGCCCACCGTTTACACCTTGTGGCAAACGGTACGGACACTCGTGGGATCAATGGTATACCGTAGTGCGTATGTCTGCAGTTCTGTGTGTAGCGAATGCGTTGTGCGATCCGGTTCTGTACACAGCCACACGGCCTTTGTACTGGGCGGGCCTATAAGAATATGGGGGTGCGCTGGTGTGCAGGAGCACAACGTGGGTGTGCGAGCAGGGAGACATCTCCCGCACAACTACATCCAACAGTGCGGCCAGAGGAAATAGCTTCTGGACGCATTGGGGGAGTTCATGAACAGGCTCTCGCCCTTCAGGAGAACGGTTCGATGCATTGGTGGCCAGGTAGCACATGCGCGCACAGACATTCGGATCCGACCCAGGGTCCGGTGAGCGAGCCGAGGCTCGATTTTGAAACGATCCATGGGGTATTTGACAGCCTCCAATCGAACAGTGCAGTCAAGACGCTGGAATATTGACCGCTTTGGGTGCGGAAGGGGCCCGCTGTCCCTAAGGTCTCGTTCCGTGGTCGTTCCTCCAGGCCTCCTCGTGTGCACCCAGGCGGTTTGTTGGTCCCGATGGGACTTAGTTCTTTCAGCTGCGCTCCTTGTTTCAGCAGCCCGGCTGCAGGCGGGGGCAGGGGCGTTCCGATCAACAAGCGAGCGGCGAGAAGCGAGCGGGAGCTGCGCTCACGGGGCGGCCCACAGCAGAGGTCCTGTCCTTCCTGCTCGTGGCCGCCTACGTGAACTGCATCATGGCGCGCCGCGCGCGCTCTCCCTGGGCAGCCAGAGCCCTGGGAAAGCCGCTGTTGCGGCCCACGCGCAGCCGGAATGTCAGACGACGGACCATTTGTTTGTTTCGGGCGGGGCTCGGGATTTCCTCCTTCTTCTAGCCTGGCATCGCTCGGACGTGTGCATTTTGCCTTCGGCGAGGACCATCGAGGAGCATCCTTGATCATTTGGCGAAGAAACCACGCACGAAACCGAAAAAAGCACAGGGAATGGACGTCCGAGCGATGGCCAGCTAGGCCTCCCAGATGGGGTCGGAGCAGACTGGGTCGGAGGGTCGAGCCGCCTCGGCGATGCATCGGCGATGCGGCTCGACGTGGAGCCCGATTAGATTCACGCTGACGTCGCCGATGCTTCGCCCACGTCGACGATGCATTGCCGGTGCATCGCCGATGCATCGCCGGTGCATCGCCGATGCATCGCCGATGCCGATGCATCGGCGATGCGGCGCGCTCCTCCGACCCCATGTACCCCGACCCCCTCTAGGAGGCCTCTATTTCTGTTTCTTCAAGAGACTTCTACCCTTCCGCCGACCCCCAGAAGAGGCAAGGAGTCAACGGTTCGCCACTAATTTGAAAGCCTGATCGAAGCTTTTGTTGGCAGTCCAGTGGCCTTCGGCCCATCCCGCGACGGTGCCTGGCTTGTGGGTCAGAGGCTTCTTGGACGCCAGCAGGGGTCTCTGGAGAAGCCTCTTGGGAGCTTCCTGGAGGCAGTTCTGAGGCCTCTTCGGGACCGTTTGGGGGCTCTTTGGTGGCCTCTTAGGGACATCTTGGGGCTCCTTGATGGTCTCTTGGGCGCCTGCTGGCGGTCTCGGGTCTTCTCTTCGGGCGGGGGGGGGTCAAAATTTCAGTTCGACTTCCCCTCTTGGGCTCCTCTTCGGGTCGATTTGGGGCCCTCTTGGGCCGTCTTGGGCGCCTTTTGGACCCTCTCGGGGCCTGTCTGGGACCCCTCTTGGCGGCCTCTTGGCCCGTCCTGGTGCGATCTTGGGGGCCCTCCTGGGCAGTTTTGGATGCCGTTGACAACAAAAAGGCGAATCTGCGGAAACCATTTTCTAGCGTCGGCTGCTAGGCAGAGGGTGACTGCGCTGGCGATAAAGGCATAAACAGTGGTTCGGTTCGAGCGACTTGTGCCGCCTGCAGGAGGAGGAGGGAGGAGGAGGAGGGAGGAGGAGGAGGAGGAGGAGGAGGAGGAGGAGGAGGAGGAGGAGGAGGAAGGAGGAGGAGGAGGAGGAGGAGGAAGGAGGAAGAGGGAGGAAGACAAGGACGGGGCGGGCGGCTCAGGGGTCAGACCGCTCCCCGAGCGTGTGGCGCGGCCGGCCCCGCCGCTCGGCACCCGGCGGCTGCTGCGACAACGGGGCGGCGGGGCCTGGCGCGGGAAGACGAAGAGCATGGCGAAGGCGTGGAAGGGCGTCACATCCGAGGCTGCCCAACCCCAACACGAGTGCGTTGAATCTGCTGAGACGAAGAAGCGTGCTCCTCTGCGGGGAAGGGACGTCCGAGCGACGGCAAGCGCCCGCCCTCTCCGGGAAGGCCGTCCTGGGAGGAGGTTCGGGCCGGACGAAAGGGGGGGATTGGGAAAGGGGGGGCTACGAATTTTGCTGCATGCAGCCGGTTTCGGCCTCACCGAGGGTCCCATTCCTCGGTACATGGCCGCCTCCTGCGCCGGGAGGCGCCAGGAAAATCAGCTGCGCGAGGGGATTCTCAACCCCCCCTCCTTTGCTATCCCCCCCTTCCGCCCGACCCGAGAGGTGGCGGGGGGCCGCGCGGCGAGGCGGCCCGCCCACTCCCGCGAGGCGGCCAGAGTGGGGGAGGTCTTGGCATCTCGGGGGGCCCTCTTGGTGGCCCTCCGGGAGCTCCCCTGGGGCGTCTTGGCATCTCGGGGGGCCCTCTTGGTGGCCCTCCGGGAGCTCCCCTGGGGCGTCTCGGCCCCCTGTGCGGCCAGGAGCTCTGGCGCGTCTCAAGCAGTGGCGAGGCGTCCTGGCTCGCCTATAGGCCTACCGGGCAATGTTCTAAGAACCTTTTGTGGTTTCCACGAAAGGTTCTTAGACCATTTCTGGCGGAGTCTGTCTTGTTTTATCACATCGGGCTTATGTTCTAAGAACGTTGCTTTTGTTCTTAGAACATTTTTAGGTTCTAAGAACATTTCGTGGTGGGACTATAGAAACGAAGGGGAGGAGGAGGGGAGGGCGGAGGAGCAGCAGGAGGACGACGGAGGAGGAGGAGGAGGAGGAGGAGGAGGAGGAGAAGAACGACGACGGTTCGAAGGGGGATGATGAGACGATGAGGGGTGGCTCGAGCAGGAGTGGCAGCAGAGATGGGAGGGAGAGGCTGCGAGAGAGGCGGGAAGATGGAGGACGGATATCGGGGGGAGGATCATGGAGGATGATTGTGGAGGAAGCAGAAGGCAGGAACTAGCGAGGAGGAGAAGGAGCAGCAGGAAGAAGACGATGATACTAGTGAGGACGATGGCGATGACGATGACGAGTTGATGATGATGCTGCTGCTGCTGATGATGATGATGATAACGATGATGATGGTTATGATGATGACCATGGTGATGATGATCATGATTATGCTGGTGATGTTTATGATGATGGGGATGCTGAAGATAAGAATGATGCTGCTTCTGCTGCTGCTGCTGATGATGATGATGATGATGATGGTGATACTAACGATGATGATGAGGATGCTGCTGTTGCTGCCGATGATGATGACGATGTTGATGATGCTGCTGATGATGCTGATGAGAATGGTGATGATACGTATGATGATGATGATGAGGATGATGATGGTGATGATGATGATCATGATGATGACGATGATGATGATGCTGATGATAGTGATCGTGATGTTGATTATGATGGCGGTGCTGCTGCTGATGCTGGTGATTATGCTAGGTATGACGATGACGATGCTGATGATGGTGTTTAGGATAATGATGGTGATGATGATGCTTATGATGATGATGATGACGGTGATGATGATCGTGATGGTGATGATGATGTTGATGATGATCGTGATGATTGTGATGGTTGTGTTTATGATTGCGTTGATGCTGCTGCGGCTGATGATGATGCTGCTGCTGATGATGAGGATGATGATGATGATGATGCTGATGATGATGTTGATGCTGCTGATGCTGCTGGTGACGATGATGATGATGTTGATGGCGATTGTGATGGTGATGATGGTGATGATGAGGAGGAGGCGGAGCAGGAGGAGGATGAGGAGCTAGAGGAGGAGGATGAGGAGGAGGAGGAGGAGAAGGGCGAGGAGGAGCAGGAGGAGGAACACTCTGGAACATGGGGGTAATAGATGCAGGAGGAGGAAGAAAAGGGAGGGAGGGTGGGCTGCAACGCTGGGCGAAAGCGTGGTTTAACATGAAGAGTGCTTGTTGTGTTGTTTTGTGTTGTTTGGTTTTTCGTTTTGTCGTTTCAAACGAGTTCGTAAAACATTTGCTGACGATTTGGCGGGCCAAGCGTTTCCTTGTGCGTTGCGTCTCGTTGTTCGATTCATGCCACGCATTTTGCGTTGTGCAATTTTCCGCGCGCGCGCTCGTTGCACCGTGTTTTTTTGTTTTCTTGTTTGGAGTGGGAGTCCTTCGGTTTGGCTTTGTAGAACCCATGATTGTTGACGTTGGCTCCTGTGGGCTGCAGGGGAGGCCAGGTAAAACAAATCCGTGGGTTTGGCTCTACACATCCCGAGGACTTTTGGCATGGCCCCCTTTGGGCGGAAGGGGGGGCCGTGCCAACCATGTTTAGACTTGGCCCGGCAGAACCCACGGAGTTCTGGCATGGCCCCATTTGGGCTGAAGGGAAGGCCGCGTCAAACCTCCTTATGCTTTGCCCTGCAGAGCCCAAGGGATTTGACATGGCGTCCTTTGGGCTGAAGAGAAGGGAAGGCGATATCAACAATTTGTGGGTTGGCCTTTGCAGAGCCCACGGGGTTTTGGCATGGCCTCCTTTGTCCTGAGGGGGGGGGGGCATGCCCCAAATCCTTGGTGTTGCCCCTGCAGAACCCAAGGAATTTTGACATGGCCTCCTTTGGGCTGAAGGGAAGTCCATGCCACAAATCCTTCTGGTTGGCTCTGCAGAACCCAAGGGATGTTGACATGTTCTCCTTTGGGCTGTTGGTCATATCAAGAATATGTGGGTTTGACTCTGCTGAGTTTAAGGAATTTTGGCATGGCTTCCCTTAGGCTGCAGGGAAGGCAACGTCAGAAATGCGTGGATTCGGCCCTGCAGAAGCCAAGGAATTGTGGCATGGCCTCCCTTGGGCTGAAGGGAAGGCCGTGTAACACCCACTGGATTTTGGTAAGGTTTCCTTTGGGCTGAAGGGAAGGCAATGCTTAAAACCCAGCTAAAACCCTGAAGCCCAAAGGGTTTCGACATGGCCTCCCTTGGGATGAAAGGACGGCCATTAAAAAAATCTGTGGGTTGGGCTCGGCAGAACCGAAGGGAGTTTGACATGGCCTCCTTTGGGCTGGAGGGAAGGCGATGCCACACAATCCTCAGGCTTGCCCCTGCAGAACACAAATAATTGTGGCACGGCCTCCTTTGGGCTGAAGGGAAGGCCATGCCACAAATTCGCAGGTTTGCCACTGCAGAACCCAAGGGGTTTTGGCATGGCCCCCTTTGGGGCGAAGGGAAGGCCATGCCAAAAGTCCTTAGACTTGGCCTTGCAGAGCCCATGGAATTTTGACATGGCCTCCTTTGGGCCAGGCCATGTCACAAATCCTTGGGTCTGGCCCTGCACCAGCTAAGGAATTGTGGCATGGCCTCCGCTGGGCTGTAGAGAAGGCCATGTCATAAATCCCAAGGTTTGGCCCTGCAGAACCGAAGGGGTTTTGACACGGCCTCCTGTGGGCTGAGGGGAAGGCCATGCCACAAATCCTTGGGTTTGGCTCTGCGGAACCCACGGCATTGTGGCATGACGTCCTTTGGGCTGAAGGGAAAGCAGCGTCAAACATCTTGGGGTTTGGCTCTGCTGAGCGCAAGGTTTTTTGGCATGGCCTCCTTTGGGCTGAAGGGAAGGCTACGTCACAAATCCTTAGGTTTGACCCTGCAGAGCCCAAGGAATTGTGGCATGGCCTATCGTGGGCTGACGGGAAGGCCATGCCAAACATCCTTGTGGTTGGCCTTGCGGATCCCAAGGGACTTTGGCATGGCCTCGGGCCAGGAATAGTTTCTTGGAATAGGGGCTGCAGGACCGAATTGGTTTCGGCATGGCTTCCTGTGGGCTGAAGGGGAGGCCATGTCAAACATCGTTGGGTTTGGCCTTGCAGGAGCCAATGAATTGTGGCATGGCCTCGCTTAAGCTGAAGGGGCGGCCCTATCATAAATCCTCAGGCTTGGCCCTGCAGAATCCAGGGAAGTTGGACATAGCCTCCTTTAGGTCGAAGGGAAGGCCATGCCACACTCGTTGGGTTTTGGCCCTGCAGAATGAAAAGGTAATTTTGAGATCGCTTCCTTGAAGGCCGTGGCAAACATCCGCAGGCTTAGCTTTGCAGAACCCAAGGGGTTTTGGCATGGCCTCCTTTAGGCTGAAGGGAAGGCCATGTCACAAACCCTTGCATTTGGCTTTGCAGAACCCACGGGGGTTTGACATGGCCTCCTCTTGGCTGAAAAGAAGGCCATGCCATAATCCTTGTGTTTGGCCTTGCCGAACCCACGGGATTTCGGCATGGCCTCCTTTGTGCTGAAGGGAAGGCCATGTCAAACATCTTTGGACATGGCCTCCTTCGGGCTGCGGGCAAAACCATGCCAAACATCCGCTTGGCTTTGCCGAGCCCGGGGGATGTTGGCATGGCCTCCTTTGGGCCGAAGGGAAGGCCATGCCAACAATTCTTGCGTTCGGCTTCGCAGAAACCAAGGGAGTTTGGCATGGCTTCCTTTGGGTTGAAGGGAAGGCTACATAACAAGTCCTTGGGTTTGGAGTCGCAGAACCCAAGGGATTTTGACATTGTCTCCTTTGGGCTGCAGGGGAGGCCATGTAAGATATCCTTGGGTTCGGCCCTGCAGAACCCAAGGCAATTTGACATGGCCTCCATTGGGCTGAAGGAAGGCCATGTGCCATATCCTTGTGTTTGGCTTTGCAGAACCCGAGGGATTTGGGCATGGCGTCCTTTGGGCTGAAGTGAAGGCCATGCCACAAATCCTGAGGCTTGGCCCTGCAGAACCCAAGGCATTTTGGCATGGCCTTCTTTGGGTTGCCGGGAAGGCCATGGCAACACTCTCCGGGTTCGGCCCTCCAGAACCCAAGGAATTTTGACATGTCCTCTTGTGGGCTGAAGGGAAGGCGCTGTGAGACAACTTTGTGTATGGTCCTGCAGAATATGCGGGATTCTTGACGCGTGTTCATTTAGGCTCCAGGGAACGCCATGCCAAATATTATGGTGTTCGACATGGCCCGCTTTCGGCTCGGGGGGGCGCCCGCGCGCTTTGTTTTGTTATGTTGTCGCTGCAGGTTAGCGTGGCCTCGTTTTGTTCTGGAGCGTTTTTTGTTGAACGGCAGCCGCATCGGTTCAGCAGGCAGCGTTTCTGAATTAATGGTGATCGAATTGCGTCGGCGCGTTTTGTTATTGTTTGTGTAACGGAAAACGCAGTTTAAAACAGCGTTTGTTACCAGCGCTGGTGGGAGTCAGGGAGGGAGGGAAGGACGGAGGAGGAGGAGGAGGAGGAGGCGGACAAGAAGGAGGAGACAGCAGGCAGGATGAGACAGGATGACTACGCAGGAGGAGGGGGAGGAGGGGGAGACGGAGGAGGAAGAGGAGTAAGAGAATGTGGAGGACGACGAGCACAGCAAGGGAAATATTGGGCGGAAGATGTGAAGGAGCATAGGGACAAGGTGCATTGGGGGAGGAGGGGCAGGGACAGGAGGGGGCGAGGTAGGGAGAGATGCATGGAGAGAGGGAGACAGAGAGGACAGAAAAAGGCAGTGAGGAAGGGAGGGAAAAGGGACGAGGAGGAAGAAGGCAGGAAGAAGGAGGAAGGAGGAAAGAGGAGGGATGGAGGAAGGATCAGGAGGATGAGGAGGTACAATGAGGACGGATGTGGAAGAGGAGGGGAAGAGGAGTGAGGAGTGATGAGCCAGAACACGGGAGGAGTAGGACAAGGGGTCGGGAGTCGCGCTTCATGACTGCACAAGACAGTAGGGAGGAGCTTAGAGTCTTCGCTCCCCATCCCCATCCACCAGGAGCGCACCTTCCTCCGCGGGCAGAGCCGCTGGCCTTTCGTTGCGAAAGAAGAAGCCCCCTCAGCTCAGCTCACTGCTCCTGCTCACTCCTCCTGCTCCTCCCTCTTCCTTCTGGCGCCGACGTCGAGTCGTGGGATTGCCTGGGTTCCTTCTCTTGTCATACCTTTTCTTGGAGTCAGTGCCCATCCTCCTCCTCCTCCTCCTCCTCCTCCTCCTCCTCCTCCTAATCCTCATCCTCGTTCTCATCCTCATCCTCATCCTCATCATCCTTTTCCTCCTCCTCCTCCTCCTCCTTATTGGACTTTGGGCCCGGCAGGATGTACCTTGCCTGGATTCAAAGCAGCCAGTTTGCCGCTGTTCCCCTGGTGGAAGCAAGCGGAGGGTCACCAGGAGCAGCTGGAGGCCGAAGAGTCTTCGGGCGGAGTCATCCGGATGTCCAGACCGTGCCGCGCGCAGCGCTTGATGCTCCCAGCGGCCCCGGCAAGGACTCGTCCTGCCTCGGCTATCGTCTGCGCGGGATATCAACGTGGGGTGCGCCCGGCATGGGCCCCATCAAGCGAGCATTAGTCAGCGACGCAGCAGTTCCGTGGGACGGGTGGCCCGGAGACTGTTTTTTTAGGGTCGGGCGATACCCCGGGTTATCGGCTTGCCCCCCCTCCCCCCCCCCAGGATAACTTGCCCTTGCCGGTTCTGCAGGTCCGCGGGAGGGGGGGCGCGGGCACATGAAGGGCTGCCCTCAGCGCGAGGGTTAGGTTATCGGCCGGCCCCCGCGTCCCCCCCCCACCCCCGGGATAACCCAGGCTATCGCCGATTCCCAAAAAACGGTCTCCTGTCTCGCCGTGTGCCGGTCTCGTCTTCCAGCCCCGTCCTGTGGTGCAAACCTGTCAGGGAAGGGCCTCGGTGCGCGGCTGCGGCCTCGGCGCGCCGAGATGGAGCCGAGGTTCGGCACGGGGGGAGAGAGCCCCTCCTTCAATTCCTCCTCCTCCTCCTCCTCCTCCTCCTCCTCCTCCTCCTCCTTCTCCTGCTCCTCCTCCTCCTCCTCCTCCTCCTCCTCCTCCTCCTACTACTACTACTACTACTACTACTACTACTACTACTACTACTACTACTCCTACTCCTACTCCTACTCCTACTCCTACTCCTACTCCTACTCCTACTCCTACTCCTACTCCTACTCCTCCCCCTCTTCGTCCTGCTCCTCCTCCTCTGGGGAGGCCGCTGTCTCAGTCTGGACAGTCGACCCGCACAGTAAGGATGGGCAACCTTCCCCAGGGTATCCTTGCATCCTTGCCTCCTCGGTCCATCTTCAGCGTTAAATCGGGCCTGTCCCCCTACAGGAGGAATATGCAAAAATAGTCAAAAATAGTCTGAGGACGATTTTCGGACTATGTTTGCAAATTTCGGTGCATCTTTTCACTATTTTCATTCTGTCGTCGAAAATCGGCCTGGAGGGGGACAGGCCCGACTTGACCTTAGCGACCTTCGCTGCCCAGCCCCCGTTCGAAAAAGCGTCCTCGTGGCCCTCCAGGGCCCTTGTGTCCTTGCCGCGCATCCTGCTGATAAGGGTGGACCAGTGGGCCCCGGTGCGCCTCGGCCCGCACTGGGCAAAGCAGCCGGCAGCATCATCGGGAGCGGCCCTGCGCCAGCGGCCAGCGACGAGGCAGGGGGAGCAGTGGTGCACTCCGCTGGTGGCGGAGTGATAATCAGACGAGGTGGGCAGAGTGCAGAGGCGGGGGGGGGGGGGCATCGACGAAGAAGAAGAAGAAGAAGAAACGCCGCTCCGCGCGGATGTCTTGGATCCGCCCTGGTACCCCCCCCTTCGGCGCCGCCCCTGGCGCACGCCGCGCGCCAGGGAGAGGGGTCCAGCGAGGATCCAAGAGCTCCGCGCAGAGCGCCAGTAGTTATGTGTTGTGGTTTCTTTGTTTTTGTTTGTCTCTGTTTGTTTCTGTGCTATTGTTTTTTGTTTATTTATGTTGTTTCTTTGTTTCTTTGTTTCTTTGTTTCTAGAGGGGGGGGGTGCAGAAGAGCGGAGCGGAGGAGGCAGGCGCAGGGAGGGCGGCAGCGGCCGCAGCGGCCTGCTGCCCCGCTCCCCGCGCAGCCGCGCGCCCCCTCCCCCCCCCCCGCGGCGCGGCCCCGCCTCTGCGACGCCTCGAGCCGCGGCGCCCTCGGCCTCCCCCCCCTCGCCTCGCTTGGTATCGCTCGGACGTGTGCACTTCCTCTCGGCGGGGACTGCTGGGGAGCATCCTGGACCATGCGAGACACAGCCGCGCGCACGAAACCGACAAGAAAGCACAGGGTATTGGACCTCCGAGCGAGGGCCAGCTCGGCCGCGGGCCGCGCCGCACACCGCCCCCCGGGCACGGCTTCTGTCGACGCCGTCGGCTCGCCTCGCTCCGCGGCCGACCCACGCCGCTCCCCATCCGCTTCGGCCTGGGAGTCCGCCCTGGGCTCTGGCCTCGCGGCGGAGGGCCCCCCCGGCCTGCCGGTGTCGACCCGCCCATAGACGTCTGGCTGCTTCCGGCTCGGCGGCCGAGGTGCCGCCGAGCCGCGGCCTGCCGATCTCCCGTCCGGCTCCCTCGGTTCGATGCTGGGAGGAGGAGGAGGAGGAGGAGGAGGAGGAGGAGGTGGAGGAGGATCAGGAGGAGGATCAGGAGGAGGAGGAGGAGGAGCTGGAGGAGGAAAAGGAGGAGGAGGAGGAGGAGGAGGAGGAGGAGGAGGAGGAGGAGGTGGAGAACAGGGAGGAGCTCCGCCCGCCCGGAGAGGTGCATCCGGGAACGATCCCGGACAGGGCCGAGGACGCGCGCGCGAGCCTGCCGCTTCCCCCGGCGTGCCCGCCCCGCGCGGCCGCACGCCGGAGTGGCACCTCGTCGGAGTGGCCTGCGGTGTGGGGGGCCCACAGCTGCAGACCCCCCCTTGCGTTGTGGGAACTTACGGCGCGAGGTTTTTCGCTATGTTCGGCCTCTGTGGGCCCTTGCTGGGCCTCGGGACCTGTCAACGACTCCACGAACGACTCAGGATGAAGAACTGGTCCTGGGGAAGGGGTCCAGACCTCTGGGGGTCGACGTTGCGAAAACGTCGCGACGTCGGGGGTCTGGGAGGGGCCCCCCAGCACTCGCCTGCGCGCATGGATTGGGTCTCCCCCTGGTCTTTTGCACATGTCGCATTCGGGGCAACGTTAGGGTGAAGTTGGGCCTGTCCCTCTACAGGAGGAATATTCAAAAGTAGTCAACAAATAGTCCAGGGACGATTTCTTGAGTATTGTTTGACCATCTTGGGGCACTTGTTTGTCTATTTTTTATTGTTCGCCCAAAATCCCCCTGTAGGAGGACAGGCCCGACTTGACGTTAGGGGCTAGGGGGGAGGGGGCCCAGGGGGGGGATGCATCGACCCCCCGTCGCCCCTTCCTGGGCCCCAGGCCCGCCCCGCCCAGCCGCGGGCGGACTCGCTATCGGGGGCCCCCATCGCTGATCGATCGGCGATGTGTCCAGGGAAGAGAAACATGGCATGAACAGAATAACTTTCAGGAGGGGGAGAAAACACCGACACTACGAATCGTCGATTCCCACGAAAATATGGGGAACTATACGGGATTGGGGAGACAAAAACCATAACATATAGGAAAGTATGAGGAATCCTGCTATTTGTGTGTATTTATTTGTGTGTCCCAGGGCCCCATTCAAACTCGGAGGTCCGCGCGGATTTCTCGGATGTTTTCCAACGTCGACCTCGTGAAACGCTTTCGAACCAAGGTCGGCTTGCTCTCTGCCAGTTCCAACAGCGAGTCTCTCGGTCTTAGGGGGCATGCACCTCTCAGCCGCTTCCGCCGCAAACTGATGTGCCACCACATTTCATGTGATCCACCACCCTGGTAGGTTCCAAGCAACATCATGGGCCTCGACGTGGGCAGGGGCTTTCACAACCTGGACGGACTGAGGGGGCCAGTGAGTAAGTAACCCTCGTATGTTGTTCCAAACATCGGCCTGCTCACCATACGGACTCCCAACAAGTCAGGCGTTCCAACCTCGGACGACCTCGCCACTGTCCACAGCATACATCAGATATCCGCTCGAGTATCTGATGGCGGCCAGAAGCCCTGTGAACCCACCCCGAAGACCAATCTGAAGTCTTTGTTCCACAAGCGGCCCCGTGAAACCAGAGACGATGAAAAGATGTGTCTTCCTCATCTTTGTCCTCCGCCTCCTCCTCCTCCTCCTCCTCCAGCTCCTGGTCCTGCTCCTGCTCCTCCTCCTGCTCCTCCTCCTGCTCCTCCTGCTCCTCCTCCTCCCCCTCCTCCTCCTCCTGCTCCTCCTGCTCCTCCTCCTCCAACTCCTCCTCCTCCCCCTCCTCCTCCTCCTCCTCCTCCTCGTCCTCGTCCTCCTCCTCCTCCTCCTCCTCCTCCTCCTCCGCCTCCTCCTCCTCCTCCTCCTCCTCCTCTGTCTCCCCCTCCTTTCCCTCCTCCTCCCCCATCCTGGAGGGCCAGGCCCGCGGGCGCCCGCCGGAAACCGCCCCCGCGCGAAAGAAAAAAGATCCCGCGCGGGGGCCCGGCCAAAGTGTCTCAAGGGCGCCCTGCGCCGTGCCGCCACGAACACCCCGCGAAGGAGGAGGGGGAGGAGGAGGAGGAGGAGGAGGAGGAGGAGGAGGAGGAGGAGGAGGAGGAGGAGGAGGAGGAGGATGAGGGGGAGGAGGGGGAGGAGGAGGAGGAGGAGGAGGGGGAGGAGGAGGAGGAGGAGGAGGAGGAGGAGGAGGAGGAGGAGGAGGAGGAGGAGGAGGAGGGGGAGGTGGAGGAGGAGGAGAAGGAGGAGGAGCAGGAGGAGGAGGAGGAGGAGGAGGAGGAGGTGGCCGAAGTTTCTGTTTGGAGCGCCGCGAGCTCGGGCGGCGTAGGAGGCAAGACGGATGTCGGCCAGGGTCGCCGACGACGCCGCCGACGAAGCCGACGCCGACGCCGACGACGATGACGCCGACGACGGCACGACGACAATGACACGGCGACGACACGACGTTGATGCCGACGACGATGACGCGACGACGACACGACGACGCCGACGACGACGTCGACAACGACGACGCCGCCACGACGACGACGACGACGATGACGATGACGATGTCGATGACGATGGCGATGGCGGCGGCGGCGGCTGCGGCATGGCCAAGCGGAATGGGAATCCTCTGGGTCGTAGAGCCCAGAAGGTCCCAAACCGCCGTCAGGTTAGAGGTTCCATCGTCTGGTTCGATTGCATTTCAGATCGCTTCGAATGGTTGAGCTGGCAGATGAGAAGGAGGAGGAGGAGGAGGAGGAGGAGGAGGAGGAGGAGGAGGGGGCAGGAGAAGGTGCAGGAGGCAGGAGGAGCAGGAACAGGCCTGAGGAGGAGCATGAGGGGGAGGAGGAGGAGGAGGAGTAGGACGACGACGACAAAGGATGATGGACAAGGACAGAGGAGGAGGAGGAGGAGGAGGAGGAGGAGGAGGAGGAGGAGGAGGAGGAGAAGGAGGGGGAGGGGGAGGGGGAGAGGGAGCGGGAGGGGGAGGGGGAGGGGGAAGGAGAAGAAATAGGAGGAGAAGGAGGAGGAGGAGGAGGTAGAGAAGTGGGAGGAAGGGGAGGAGAGGGGGATGGCAGGGGAGGATCAGTAGCAGCAGCCGGAGCAGTTTCAGAGAGCAGGAGCACCGGGAGGAGGAGCAGTCGGAGGAGGAGCATCAGCAGGACTCAGCAGGAGGAGGAGGGGGAGGGGGAGGAGGAGGAGGAGGAGCAGCAGGTCGATAGGGTGATCTGCGGATCTGCGTTCCCTCGCGCCCGATCGACCGACGGCGGCTGGGTCCACGAGGGGTATGTATGCGCAGCCGTCTGGCCTCGAGTCGCTCCGGCCTCCCAAGACTCGCCGCGCGCTCGGCGCGCTCCATTCCGGCCGCGGGCCGGGCGGCGCCAGCCAACGAGCAACCCGCGCAGTGGAGACCCATGTCAAGAGAGACGGCGTAGATGTTTTTCGCCCGGGTTGGTTTTCGCCCGGGTCGGTTTTCGCCCGGTTTGTTTCGCCTGGAATTGTTCTCGCCCGGTTGGCTTTCGCCCCGGGTTGGCTTTCGCCCGGGTTGGCTTTCGCCCGGGTTGGCTTTCGCCCGGTTGGCTTTCGCCCGGGTTGGCTTTCGCCCCGGCTGGCTTTCGCCCGGTTTGGCTTTCGCCCAGGTTGGCTGTCGCCCGTGTTGGCTGTCGCCGGGGCTCGTTTTCGCCTGGGTTCCTGCGTCCCTCTGGAGCGCGGGCGACGGGCATGGATCCCGGGAGAGGGCCGCGGGCCAGAGGAGGACAGGGGAGACAAGACCGCGAGGGGAACGGGGGAGGGCGACCAAGAGGGGAACGGGAGGACGGGGAGTCGTCGTCGTAGTAGTCATCGTCCACCTCGTTGTCGTCGTCGTCGTCGTCGTCGTCGTCGTCGTCGTCGTCGTCAATGTTGTCGTCGTCGTCGTTGCGTTATTGTCGTGGTGGTGGTCGTCGTCGTTGTCTTAGCCGTTGTCGTAGTCGCCGTACTCGCCATTCTCGCTGTCGTCGTCGTCCTCCTGATCGCCGTCGTTGCCGTCGTCCTCTTCGTGGTCGTTGTCGTCGTAGTGGTCCCGCCCGTCAGGGTCCGCCCGCCCGACCAGACCCCCCGTTTGGGTTCGCGCGTGCTGAGTCGAGCGCGCCCCACATTTCAGTGCCCCGCCCGCCCGACCCGACCCGCGTGATAGGGTCCGCCCGATCCGATCCGACCCGACCAGTCCCGCCTGTTAGGGTCCGCCCGCCCGACCAGACCCGCCCGTTAGGGTTCACGCGTGCCCACTCGAGCGCGCCCCACACTTTAGTGTCCCGCCCGCCCGATCCGACCCCCGTGTTAGGGTCCGCCCGACCCCACCCGACCAGTCCCGCCCGTTAGGATCTGCCCGCCCGCCCCGACCCGCCCGTTAGGGTTCACGCATGCCCACTCGAGCGTGCCCCCACACTTTAGTGTCCCGCCCGCCCGACCCGACCCGCCCGTTAGGGTCCGCCCGACCCGACCCGACCCATCCCGCCCGTCAGGGTCCGCCCGACCCGACCCGACCTGCCCGTTGAAGTTCACGCGTGCTCGCTCCGGCGTGCCCCACACTTCAGTGCCCCGCCCGCCCGACCCGACCCGCGTGATAGGGTCCGCCCGATCCGATCCGACCCGACCAGTCCCGCCTGTTAGGGTCCGCCCGCCCGACCAGACCCGCCCGTTAGGGTTCACGCGTGCCCACTCGAGCGCGCCCCTACACTTTAGTGTCCCGCCCGCCCGACCCGACCCGCCCGTCAGGGTCCGCCCGACCCGACCCGAACCGTCCCGCCCGTTAGGGTCCGCCCGACCTGACCCGACCCGCCCGTTAACGTTCCGACCCGACCCGTCTCGCCCGTTCGGGTCCGACCGCCCCACCCGACCCGCCCGTTAGGGTTCACGCGTGTCGCTCGGGCGTGACCCACACTTTAGTGCCCCGCCCGCCCGACCCGACCCGCCCGTTAGGGTCCGCGCGGCCCGACCCGACCCGTCCCGCCCGTTAGGGTCCGCCCGCCCGACCGGACCCGCCTGTTAGGGTTCACGCGTGGGCCCACGCGTGCTCAGTCGAGCGCGCCCCCACACTGTCGTGTCCCGGCCGCCCCGACCCGCCCGTTAGGGTCCCCGGATTTGTTTACGCCGGCGGCTCCCTCGGGTCCGCAGTCGTTCCCAAGGACAGGTTTTTATCCTGGCGCGTCCTGGGGCCGTCCCAGCCCCCTGCGGCCGACACAGGCCCACAAAACCTACCGTTTTGTTTTTCCTGGGCG